GGCAGCCATATCTCCACCATCTCCCTGAGGGCGAGGTCCCCATTGCAGCGAGGCAGCTGCCTTTTCTCCCCATCCCCATTAGGCCTGAAATGAAGTGCTCAATATTGCATTGTTTATTATAAATTCAATTTCATAGTAATAGTACAGAAAATTTTGGTAGGCCTGATTGAAGAAGTTAGGTCTATATACTCTAATTTTCCTCTGAAACATAGTTTGCTCCTTCATGTAGTATATTGAAAAACAAGAAAACCACTAAGTGTAGCCTGGAATCTATGTTGTATCCATTTTCTGCCTTTTTCTCAGTGGAAATGATAACACCATTCTCAGCTACATGCCCTCTTTTTTTCTTTACAGCTCCCTTCCACATCTACTGACATTTTGTAACGAATCTTTCTTTAGAATATGAAAAGCTCCTCAGCACAGGGACCTCATCCTTTTATGTGTCACTTTAAAACATCACATAAACCTGTAGTGATAATATATAATTACATACAACAAAATTACGGCAAGAGAAAATTAAGGTTGCAACGTCAAGTACTCAGAAGTTAGCAAGTGCCAGAATTAATATTGTCTGTGCATCCTTAATTCGGCCCTCTTGTGTGTATGCATTGTGATATTGTCTTTAATTTCATGATCACTTATTATTTTTTCCACAGGACCCCAGCCTCTTTCAATATACAGGATGAATGGTGCTCATTGAATAGGTAGCTATTCAATATTTGGTGGTATTCTGATCATTCAGTGTATGATCCCATGGCTTATATACTGCACAGCCTTCATAGCCTGCTCTGAACATATTTATTAATTTTCTCATGGGCTTTGTTATGGTGCTCTTCAGTTTAGTATCTGAGGTCTGGAACTGAGCATGGGTGGCAGGTTTGTAGAAATTTTGGTGGTGCCCAGAACCTGCCCCCCCCAACTCTGCCCCCCACCTGCCTAAGGCTCTGGGAGGGAGTTCGGGTGGGGGGAGGAGGTCTGGGGTGCAGGTCCTGGGGTGGGGATTAGGGTGCAGGAGGGGTGCAGGGTGTAGGCTCTGGGATGGAGTTTGGGTGCAGGCTCTGGGGTGGGGGTGTAGGAGGGGGTGGGGGTGCATGCTCGGGGAGGGAGTTTGGGGGTGGGAGGGGCTGCAGAGGGAGGGGATGCAGGCTCTGGGAGGGAGTTTGGGGGCAGGAGGGGGTGTGTGGGAAGGGGAGGAGATGCACCTCTGGGAGGGAGTTTGGGGATAGGAGGAGGTGCAGGGGTGAGGGCTGTGGGGCTGAGGATGAGGGGTTTGGGGTGTGTGGGGGCTCAAGTCTAGGGCAGAGGGTTGGGGAGTGGGGTGAGGGCTGTGGGGCTGAGGATGAGGGGTTCGTGATGCAGGAAGGGGCTCAGGGCTGGGGCAGAGGATTAGGGTGTGGGGGGATGAGGGTTCTGGCTGGGGTTGAGGATTAGGGTGCGGGGGGATGAGGGCTCTGGCTGGGGCTGAGGATGAGGGATTCATGATGCAGGAGGGGGCTCAGGGCTGGGGCAGAGGATTAG